CATTTGATTTAGCCGCTTTTTAGAAGCTTAAAGCTACACCTATCATCCGCTTTGCAATGGAGGGAAGTCGAACCTTAACTTCGAACTCCTCCTATGTTTTTCTGATTAATTTCGTCGCGGGTCCAATGACAGTTTAACTGTCCCCCGGGACAAACTGACCTTCACTGGTTGGGTTGTTGGCGGTCAAGCTGTAGATCCAGGCTACACAGAAGTTGCAGCGGTGGGAACGAGAGGTGGGAATAGTCCCGTTATTAAAACTATACAAGCAGTTACAAGTGAATAACGATGTCTGGGAAAGTAGGAAATACCTTAGTTCTGGAGCTATTTAAAAAGGAAATAATTTCACTTCTACTTTAAATAGCCAAAACAATAACAATCGAGACCCAATAACCGATGTTTAGTTACGTAATTGAACCAACGATCGATTAGTGATGTTCGAGTTATCGATATGTTACGGCTAAAGATAGGTGTGAACATAAACTTAAGATTAGCCGGCTAAACTTAAGTTTATCTTCGACGAGGTGTTAATGTTAGTTTCTTCTATCTTTAGCCGGCTAAACTTAAGTGTAACCGCAGACCCTTGGCTAAAAATGTAGAAGGAAATGGAAAAGGAAACAATGTAATAATGTTTACTATTTTGACACGAAACCTTTATTAAAAAATAATCACTTTCATTACACATACTTTTATGTACCTATGTAGGTATTAAAAATTACAATTATTACAATTACAAAATATTAATTACTTAAAGCAATATCTACCTAATCATTAAAATAAAATAATAAGAAACCATTTGGTCATTACAGAATCTTCTGTAGGTATTTAAAATTACAAAATAAAACTGCGCGCGCGTTGTCTCCCCCCCGCCCCCTCAAGCCCTCCGCCGGCCTGGCGCGCCCATCGAATACATTTTTAGCCGTTTCGTTTTGGCTAATGTGCACATTAGCCGGCTAAAGATGGAATATCACGACGCAAACTAACATGTTATCGAACTTTAGCTGCTTCTCGAAGATAAACTTAAGTTTAGCCGGCTAATCTTAAGTTTATGTTCACAACTATCTTTAGCCGTAACAGATATACTAAGTCGATACTTTTGGTATACGATGAGAAAACGCTGGCAGATGTATTATATCACGATAGTTGTTAGAGAGCATGTAGGGACATAGAGATGAAAATGCATTAGCATTAAGACTAGGCGCACACCGTTGATTTTTAGTTGGCCGATAGTTATGTTGTGCCCGATTGTAATTTGTATGAAGAATCGACCAAATCGAATCGGCGTAGTGTGCGCACTCCCATACATGCCCATACTGATCAACTGCCCGACTAAACTATCGGCAGACGAAAAATCAACGGTGTGCGCCTACTCTAAAATGAAATAACCACCAGGACAGCTTTATACCGTTATAAAAAAAAAAACAAATAAATGATAATAATATTATCATTGGATGTTTTGTTTTTAATTAAATGTCTGCCTTTAAAAACTAATTGTTAGAGTCTTCATATCTTTCTGAACGAATCAAAAAGTTTCTTCCGTCTTCTCAGTACCAAACGATAATGTTGTCCAGGAATGGTGGTAGAGCAAACTATGCTTGGAGCGTGTATTTAAAGTGCCCTGGCTTAGATATAAACATTTATAAAGAATATTAATTTGTATTTAAATGTGTTTTATAAACTAGCAGAACCGATCGGTAAAGAAAAAGATAAAGATAAAGAATATTAATTTGTATTTAAATGTGTTTTACAGAGACCTACTATTTTGTAATTTACTTATTTTTAATTTCATTTAGAGTAGGCGCACACCGTTGATTTTTCTTCGGCCGATAGTTTAGTCGGGCAGTTGATCAGTATGGGCATGTAGGCATGGGAGTGCGCATACTACGCCGATTCGATTTGGCCGATTCTTCATACAATTTAAAATCGGGCACAACTATCGGCCAACTAAAAATCAACGGTGTGCGCCTACTCTTAGTGTTATAAATTGGTAGTTAAATATTTTTATCGACACGTCCCATCACTAGCAGAACCGATCGGTGTCTACCCAAACGACTTTCCATCGCCATTGTATCACAAAGCGGCAATTATTCAATAAAAATGGACGAAAGGTCAATAGAGTTGAAATATAACGTCATTAGATGTAGTTTACTGACTTACAAGGCCTGTGATGGTTTTAGAAAATGAAAAAATTATGTGTTATTGGTTTTCTTGAGTGATTTGACTTCTTCTTCTTCTTTTCGTGTCGACAACAAACCTACACAGTGTCAGCCCAAAACTCCGCCACAAGAATGGCGTTGTCAGTAGCACTCATCAAATCCTCTTGAGTGCAGTTGCTTGGGCACTCAGGGCATGACATCAGGTGCTTCATCGACTGGGGAACAAAATTTGACTTTACTTGACTTCTTATTTGTTTCTTTCTTTTCTGTAGTGGAGGCCACGTACCGGAAAGCGCAGCGTTGGATGTCCACCTACTAGTTGGACCGATATGACATCATAAAGGTAGCGGGAAGGCGCTGGATGCAGGCCGCCACCAACCGGTCATTGTGGAAATCATTAAAATAATAAAATAATAAATAATAAAAACGTTTATTTGAACCAAAAGTTACATTATGCATGTAGGTATTACTATGCAAAAGTTACAAAAAGTGGCATGATAATCGGGGGTCCCATGACTACTAAACTAGGTTACAACCTGTATCTTAGTAGCCAGTGATTCCTCAACTAAGATTTAAATACAATGACTTGGTCCGATTGGTTAGTCTATTAAAACAAAACCAAAACTTTTAAAACAAGAAAAAGAAGACTTAAATTTAGTTTAAAACAGTGTTACATAACAATTAGAGTACAAACGAATGAACGTGTTATTGTGTGAGAGTGAGTGTGTGAGAGTGAGTGAGTGAGAGTGAGTGAGTGAGTGAGAGTGAGTGAGTGAAATTATCAGTGTGTAAGTGAGTGAGGTGTGCAAGTCTGTGCTGAGTGGTAAGGTGGCAACTGCATAACCTGATCCTATGTAAGAAGCGATTCGGTTTCATTATAGTCTAACGAAAGAAGAAATAATTTAACTGCTCTCCTGAATTCATATCTGGTAAGTGGGTAAATACTTAAACGTTTATTCACTTTGTTATAAATTTTAGAACTTAAGGCCTTGAACTGACGTAGAGCCCAGGCAGTTCGACCAATAACCCGAGGACAGATCGGTGCTGCCCGTCTCTTCGTTGAGCTTTGGTGTTCAAATGGTAAGGAATCATTGGGGGAGGCCTATGTTCAGCCGTGGACGTCCTGTGGCTGAAATGATGATGATGATGATGACTGGCTTTCTAGTCCCAAACCGTAACCGTACCTATATAACTCAAAGGTGACTGACTGACTGACTGACATAGTGATCTATCAACGCACAGCCCAAACCACTGGACGGATCGGGCTGAAATTTGGCATGCAGATAGATATTATGACGTAGGCATCCGCTAAGAAAGGATTTTACGAAACTCCACCCCTAAGGGGGTAAAACGGGATCCACTCGTACGAAGTCGCGGGCGGCCGCTAGTCTATACATAATCCTACAACTAGAAATACATAAGGCAGTCACTTAAACAATCATTTTAGTAATGAAAAATCGTTAGCTATTTTAATTCACTCCATCCAATTACAATTTATGATTTATGCAATAAAAATAACCAAACCTATTAGAACTGTCATCGATTTTCGAAATAGATCGATTTAGCCAATCAATACCGATCGGTGTCAATTTCATAATACTTCGATCACGATCTCTTGCGCGGACGCAGCTGCGTGCTTCGCGGTTTAGTTGGTTAAGAATTAAGCTATTAGATACTGGTTATGACCCGCGGTTTTGCTTGCTTTAGATCAGTGGTTCTCAACCGGCGGCCCGCAGACCACTGGTAGTCCCTGGAGGCATTCCAAGTGGTCCACGAAGACATCGTAATAAACAAGTGACGTGACGTGATGAGTCGAGTCAACACAACGCAAACGGCGCACACTGGGCGAGAAATCGACCTCCCCTTTCAGAGGATTTTGAAAAAAAAAAAGACAGAAATTTGGTAAAATGGTCCCTCGTGATTTAAAGGTTAAGAACCACTGCTTTAGATCCATATACTTGCTTCTTTATGTGACACTAATAACTTTTATCATAAAAGTAACATGTATAAATTGGTCGTCAGTCTAGCCAGGTTTTGCTTACGGAACTATTCCCACCACTCGTTCCCACCGCTGCAACTCCTGTGTAGCCAGGATCTACAGCTTGACCGCCAATAACCCAATCAGTGAAGGTCAAGTTTGTCCCCGGGGAAAGTTAAACTGTCATTGGATCCGCAACGAAATTAATCAGAAGAATAGAAGTTCGATGTTGAAGTTTGACTTCCCTTCAATGCAAAGCGGATGACAAGTGACAAAATAAAGGATAAATCCACCTACGTTCCTACTGCAACTATGTACTGCTTAGCCAGGATCTGCAGTTAGGCTTCTAATGATACCAGTGAGTGGTTGAGTACTTAGTATGATTTTATTTTTATTGATTTTAGATGTTTTGTGAGTTGTTATGAGTCAATAGAATCCTTTTTACAAACTACAAAATAATCTATACTAATCTACACTTATAATCTATAATATATAAAGCTTATAATTATACATGCAAAAGTAACTCTGTCATCTGTCTGTCCGTCTGTCTTGCTTTCACGCCTAAACCACTCAACCGATTTTGATGAAATTTGGCATAGAGTTAGTTTGAGTCCCGGGAAAGGACATAGGATAGTTTTTATCCCGGTTTTTAAAACAGGGACGCGCGAGAAAAAAATTTTCTGTGACAGACAAAATTCCACGCGGGTGAAGCCGCGGGCGGAAAGCTACTTTTCCAATAAAATAAACTTTTTTGCTATTACCAAATTGGAAGGTGCTAGTGCTACCTACTACATAGGCTGTAGAATTATGTAAGAGCTGAATATTTTTGGTAAATATTAATTCTAGAAAATTAAATAAAACAAACTTACCAGAACACCTTGTCGACGTCACTTTGGTGTAAAAAAGTCCAGTCAGTACTCAACACATGAATCACTTCACAATCACTGATCACTTCACATGTTCCTCAGCAGACCTGTTATTAACCAAAATAGTAATCGTAGTAATAAAATATTATGTATATAGCTACAGCGTACAACGCGAACTTTATGTATAAGTATAGAAAGTCCTTAAAAAATTGGAGAATCTTTTCTAAAATACCCTTCGGGGGCGGATTTGTATTGGTTTCTTGCATTTATTGATTTTGTTTTGCCAATTTTGTCCCTGTAACAAATTGGTTCTGTTAATTTAGTTGACAGGGTTATTAGTTAGTAATAATGTTGTCTGTTTGTTAGTTGATGTAAGAAAATACAATGGAATTTATGAAAAAGCAATATACCGAAAATAAATTGTATGTATACTTTTTTTGTATAGTAATAAAATACATAAAAATATTAAAAGCATTCATAAATAAATAAAAAATAGATAATATTGATACCATTCCAAGAATGTATTTTGAATATTTTACCAAATTTCTTAAGCTATATTGTGTAAAGCTAATTTCTTATAAACCCTATCTCAAAATTTTCAATAATTTTTCTTTTAATCTTGTAGTCTTCTTAACTTTCCCAAGTCATACAATTCATTTAAATATTGTTGTAATGATTATATGACTGAAGTTAGGTAAACCTACTTCTAGTATAGTTATTTCTGACTTCTATTAGCATATAACTAGATTAAATTACTTAATAAACTCGCTGAAACCGCTACTAATTTCAGGCATTTACATCACTAAAAAGTTATTAGAACCAACTTGATCAACAGCCTCCATGATGACATATTTTATCTAAACATCTAAACAGTTATGAAAGCTGTCCGCGATCGCAATCGCGTCAATAATCGACTTTGATGTAATTTTAACGTTTAAAAATATAGTTAAAGTGATTCACAGTAGCCTCGCTACTTCAAAAACAATTAATAACTAAAATACGAATAGGTATTCTGCTACTGCAAGCTGAAGTGGCAATGGGCAGGGCACATAGTACGCAGAACTGACGGCCGATAGGGCAGCAAGGTTCTGGAGTGGAGGCCGCGTACCGGAAAACGCAGCGTGGGACGTCCACGCACAAGGCGGACCGACGACATCATAAAGGTAGCAGGGAAGCGCTAGACGCAGGCCGCTACCAATGGATCAACATGGAAAGCATTGGGGGATGCCTATGTTCAGCAGTGGACGTCCTATGGCTGAAATGATGATGATGATGATGAGTAGGTATTCATAGGTCTGAATCATTTATCACAATGGATGCGTTCTGCGATCAGGTCAAATGAACGCAGCCCGCAACTTCCTTTCCTTTATGCATAACAAGGCAGGTATTTGACCGCAATCGCACCTGGTGTTAAGTGAGATGCAGTCCGTTTGCGTTCTTTTCTCATGCCTCACTCTCAGATCGCAATAATACTAAATGTAGGGCCGAGAATATTTTTGCGTTCACTTTGGCCTGACCGCAGACTGCAGAAGACGTGTGGCAGATACTTGATGTTGATAAAATATCATAATTTTAACGAATGGCTGCTCCTCGGTTAATTAATTCTTGACATCGTTAACAGATAAGTATCCACTGAACTCTTATACTAGTTTTAAGACCAATGTTTACCCAAAATTGTGTATGTTCAACTTATACTTTGAGTTTAAACTCTGCCACATTAATGTCGAATTCAATTTTATTACATTCACTCTTAACTCTTGTCTCGCATTGACATTCTTGTATCTCGCTTTGACCTTGCTCGAATCATTATTCGATCACTATACGACTGGCCCAACCTTGTTTTTTCCCTTGTATTTCCCATAGTAAAAGCTTTAGTTTGTCAACTCTACTTTATTGGCCAAAGTTATTTTTTAATGAAGAAAGAAACATTTATTACGATGAACATCACTTAGTTAAGAATAAAGAACGTATACGGAAAAAAAGACAGAAATCTAAATATATAAAAGGAGAAACTGACTGACTGACTGACAGATCAACGCACAGCCTAAACGGCTAAACGTAGCTGCGTAGGCACTTGAAATTTGGAAGGGACGTAGCTTAGGTACCGTAGAGGTGCACTAAGAAAGGAATTCCCGAAATTCCCACGGGAACGGGAATTAGCGGGAAAAATGGGATTCACGCGTACGAAGTCGCGGGCGGCCGCTAGCAGCACATAAATATTACAAGGAAATAAAAAGTGAACTGAGCAGTGCTATCCTGTCGCAACAGCGATGCCCATCGCAATGGGACTCCACTCAGCATATGCCGTGGCCCACGGTGGGGAAGGCCACGACGCTGGTTTTCAGTGGGCCCCATGCCGAGTTGAAGTCACGACACTAACATAAACTGCATATTATCGTCATCAGGTCATTCAGTCTCCATTGCAGGAGGACGACCCTCTCTAATTTACCAGAGGCAAATGGAAGATGAGGCGTACACTCCCCATGCCAGGCAGATCTGTTTTTTTGCAGCAAATGGATCACCTGATGGTAGGTAAGTGATTACCGCCAAATTACAGGTACATTATTTGAGGTATGAGTTTTTGCATATTTGTCCCTTACAACATTCATCATCTTCATCATCATTTCGGCCACAGGACGTCCACTGCTGAACATAGGCCTCCCCCAATGATTTCCACGCGCCCGGTTGGTAGCGGCCTGCATCCAGCGCTTTCCTGCTACCTTTATGAGGTCGTCGGTCCACCTTCTGTACATTATTTTATTTACAGAGTATCTATTGTGAGATTCTACTGCACAATCTTTTTTTATGGACACTTGACCGAGTCGGATCGCTGTGAAATTGCATCGCAACATTTGCTATGAAGTAAAAGTGTTTCGGACACCGATTATTGGTTGAAGCTACCAATTTGTTTGCTTTTGGTTCGCAATTATGTATTTTTAGTTCAGTCTGCAACCTGATCAATTGATTTTGTTTTTATCTTTTTTTAATTCGCTATTTTTGGATGGATTGAATGCAAGCTGTCACCAACCGGGCGATGTGGAAATCATTGATTAATTTACTATTAGATATTCAAACACTAGAACACCAAAGGTTTTGCCTATAATTTGATTACACTTGCCTTTCTAACAACTAGCCTTGACAAGTCCCATTGTTTAAATTATTTAATTGCAAAACATTACATTAATTTAAAATCACTTGGCATGCCTGGTTGGGTTAGTACAGTAATTAATAAACTGCCTATGTCGTAATTATTGCCTGCTGTTTTTCGATTTATGTAGTACCTATCTATCTATACTTCTATTCTTAATATAAGGCTGAAGAGTTTATTTTTTAACAAATACTAGAAAGTACATTGACATTCGTCTACTCGTTTGCCTTCTGTCACATAAAAAAACCATAAAAGTACAGGGCTAAATGGGCTTTAAAATCAAAATATAGGTTTTTTCTTTAAAAAAATGTTGTTATGTTTGTTATTAATGGACTCGGAAACGACTAAATTGATTTTTATTTCATTTATATTTTTTGATAGCAAAACTAAATGTTTTCTTTTAATTCTGAAAATTTAATATTGTTGATTACTTATGCATATTGCTATGCATAATTTCATCATGATGTCATATACCTAACTACGTATGCAATTTTTGTGCGGGTCACGGACAGTAAGGTAACTGGAGAGGAGAAAGAAAATTATAACACCTTTTTATCCCATCCATAACTTACAAGACTTACTTAGAATGTAGATATTCAATATTTCAAAGAAAGGACATGTAATAAACATGTTCACATAGTTTACAAAATAGAAAAATATATTTAAACTAGCTTTCCACCCGCGTCTTCGCCGGCGTGGAATTTTGTCTGTCACAGAAAAACTTTATCGCGCGCGCCTCTGTTATTATAAACCGGGATAAAAACTATTTTATGTCCTTTCCCGGGACTCAAACTATTTCTATACCAAATTTCATCAAAAGCGTGAAAGCGAGACAGACAGACAGAGTTACTTTCGCATTTATAATATTAGTATAGATGTACATACACAAGATACTGAAAAGGTGGGTCACTTAGTGTCGTAGCTTCTCAGGAATGCCACGACGCTGGTCTTCCGTGGACAATTTGATCCAGAAATCAAAATTTAAATCTTCGGTCAAACTAAACTGGTAATTAACCTTGACACCGATATTGACAACTTTGTAAAATTACTAAAAACCCATTGCAGTCTTAAATTAATCTTAATGAAAATGTTATTTTAAATAGCAGGTTACCATCTACAAACCTTGGGCATCACATATCACGGACACAAGTGTAATGTTACGACATTTTTCCTCGAATCGAACGAAATGACCATAAAACGTACGTAAGTTCTTTTGTGAGTGAAATTTCAAATTACATTCTTAACTGCATAAGTAAAATAAAGGCTTGTTTTCACGGATACATCCCGTATTTTACAGGAACTGTTTTTTTGCAGGATCTTTAGTTTAATACTATTCACAAACGATGCTTGCTTAAATGACGCAGAAAATCGAACAGAGTTGAATAGAGCTCTGTGGTTGTTTCGTGTGTCACTCTGTGCGTCTACGCGCACTGTGAGACCTCATAGTAATGTTTGTGAAAACAGGCGTAAGTGTTTTAATATTAACAATTACACGAACATCCTAAACTCATAAAGACTCATAAAACTCATTTATTTTTGCAAATAGGCTTTTAAAAAGCACTTTTACACTATTATCCTGTTTACAGTGTCCCGCAAAAAAACGATCTGTTCGAATTTGGAACACACTTGTGTGTTGAAAGACTGTCCAGTTTTGCCGGATTCAGTAATACAGGGTCACGCAAAACTGGATGGCCGTGAGAAAGGGCCCTAACAGCACATCAGCCTACATTTTTGTTGCAATATAGTATCTGTTACCAGTACATAAGGTCCTACAATTTTCAGTTTGTTTTATTGTCATCTTTACGTTTAAGATACATTTGCAACATTTATTGGGACAAATAATAATTTTGTTTGTTAAAACTTCTATTAAGAAACATTAGAGGTATATTTTTTAATAGTTTTAATAACTAACAGAAAACCTAATTGACGTTATTAGACTAATAAACATTGAAAAAACATAATTTCTAAAACTAATGACTGTTGGAAAACATTATGATTTTAATTGGGTTGAAGATAGTTAGGTAATAATTGCTAAGAAATGTTTATCACTAATCTGTTAAAAATTTAGTAAAGCAAAACAATTTTTAGGTTAGTATAAGACAATTTGGTATCAAAAATATGAATAAGTCTATCATCTGAATATTTAACCATAAATTTAACATACAAATGAAAATACATATTAATAACTGTTAATTAAAACGAAATATTAATTCAATCCCGTGCCCTTAATTTGTCATTACATAATACATAACATAACATACCAACAGATAAATATTTACCGCGCTAAGCTACTGTACTCCAATAACACTTACATAAACCGAACCAAATACAATAACAAGTGAAAATCACGCAAAAACACCCGAAAATCACTCACAATGACACTTAAACAACACAATAACACTTTTCCAACATTAATTTTAGAAGAAAACGGACCTAGAATGATTTGTTTGCTATAATAAAGTATAGCAACGGTGTACTACACACTTTCATGTGGAATGACCGAGGTGTACTGAGTGGTGACTAAAGTGGGGGGTAGGGGGAGCACACGTTCGCGTGAACGCGGACTTAGTTTGTGAAAGGCAGCTAATGATGTATTGCCTAATTGGTGTATCGTTTGTGATGCCAATTCAATAGTGGATTGGTTTATTATGTGAATTTATTTCTGTTGGTGTCAGTGAAATGTTTGGTTTTAATATTTTGATGGCACATTTTAACCTTCTACTATCAATAATACTATAATCAGACAGTAAATTTCATAATTAATTTTGAACTGAACTTATCAGAATTCCCAACTGAAAAGTCAATTTATTTAAGTTTCTAATTTTTTTTAGTTTGTAGAAAATTCGCCTGGGTCTTTTTTAAGAAATTGCTTGGGTAGGTAAAAGTTATTGTTACTTTGAATATTGTATTTTGCAACCTTGTTTTTAGGCTATGGAGGTATCAACGGACAAGTTTAGTGACAAACGAAATCTTCTGTTTCATTTTCAATTGAAATATTTATTATAAGAATAGCTGATTATTTTTCTAATCGTCACCCATACATACACATATTTAAAGTTGTATTAATCTTTTTGAGTAATAAAAACCGTCTTAATAAATTCGTAAACATTTAAAAAATATAAATCCTCTATATTACATAGTGGAATAATCCTATATGGTATTTAATGCTTAAGATTTTTTAAAATAAAATCTTGTCCCTATTTTAATTTCCAAATCATACGCACAGTACCGTATTGCGTGCACACAGACGTCGGCGCTCGCGCATAGCGAAACCGACGTTGTAATGCTGTTGCTATACGTTGTATAATGCCGCGGGGGCGTAGTGGCGTTTATTGACAATATGTAGTGAGTCACAGGTTCGATTCCCGATAGTATTGTCTACACTAATATTATGGATAGGAAAGATTTGATTGCTTGTATTGAATAGGCTCCAAAACTGCTGATCCGATTTGAAAAAATCTTTCATCATTAGAATCCTACTGTTTCTGATGAACACAGGCGATACAAGATTATGTTCTGATAACTGTACATATCTATGTAAACATATAAGCTTTACAAGTTCTGTTTAGTTTGGAAATAAGATAGCCAGTTCCTCTATGGTTGAGGATTCCGGGTGAAGCTCGCTTCCACCTTCGACCTGATCGTCACTTACCACCAGGAGAGATGCAGGCCAAAAGCGTTCTCATTGTATTTTGTAATCATTTCTTGAATAAACCGCAAAAATAACACTGTGTTGCTTATGACGTCACAGTCATAATTTATACTTATTTCACTAATAGCACACTACCCTAAATGTGGTTTGAAAACCGATACTAGAGGCGTAAATAGATAATTTAATATTTTAACAGCTTGTGTTATTCAATTGGCCACAAAGTGCCAAATGCTGTTTAACAAAAACCACAAAATATAACTGGTAAAACGGTAATTGACTGAGTGGTAAAAATACGTCAACGACTGTGACTAGATCCATCGTCAATGTACTCGTACAATTCTAGTCTTTTAATTTATGAAAACCCTGAATTTTGACCTCGAAGCTGTTATGTTACTATGGTAGTTGATTGGACCTCTGTTTTTATTATTAAACTAGCGGCGGCCCGCGACTTCGTACGCGTGGACCCCGTTTTACCCCCTTAGGGGTTGAATTTTGCAAAATCCCGTCTTAGTGAGCACCTACGTTCTAAAAGGAACCCCGATGCAAAATTTAAGACACCTAGCACTTGCAGTTTCTGAGATTTAGTGATGAGTGAGTGAGTGAGTCAGTGACTTTTCGCTTGTATAGATAAAGATAAAATATTAAGTTTCTCATATAGTGAACAAAAAATACAGAATAAGGGAGAAATATGCGAATATGGCCTCCTCAACTTGTCTGGCCTACGTGAGGTGTGGAGTGTATGCCAAATCCTCCATTTTGCCTCTAATATATTACAGAAGGTCATTTGCCAATAGACTAAGTTTTTAGAACTAACAGCTAATAAAATGCAAGATCTCTCCAATAATGAATTATTTCATATAGAGATTTTTCATTATAATGATGTATAATGATAATGTTTTTGTCAAACAACATTTGGCAATTTGTGGCCAATTGAATAACACAGGCTGTTAAAATATTAAATTATCTATTTATGCCTGTGTGTGCCTAATAAGTATAAATTATTAGTAAAGTTATTTTAGACAAATCCTTTAAATTTAACTACCCATAGGGCATCTATTTTTACTATGAAAGTCGTTAATATTTCTACCTAAGTGTAGGTATGTCATTTGTTACTTAATCAAATATTCGTCAATATAACCTAGGAAAGTAACGGACAGTCCAATCGCGTGTTTCCCACTGGAGCGTGTCTCGCGGAGAAAATCGATTCATTAATCGATCGGATTGTCAACTCGATTATGCGTCTGTTATATCGAGTTTTCTTTTTTACGAATGGACTAGTGTGAGGTAGGGAAAGTATTGATTTGTGTATTATAAGAAACATCATCAGTCATTAGTCTCCGATGAAGGAGCACGACCCTCTAATTTACCAGAAGGAAATGAAGGACAGACTCGTAAAATGTTTGCAATAATATTAAGCTTTTAAAAGGCGCTTTTATACGTTAAAAACCTACCAGTGCTTACGAGCTTGCCCTGAACGGAGGTCAAGTTCGCTCGTTTCAGCCAAATGACGTCCACTGCTGGACAAAGGCCTCCCCCAGGGATTTTTATACGACAGTCCTGCGCTGCATCATACTAGATACTTCCCGCGACCTTGACCAGATCGTCGGTCCACCTAGTGGGGGGCTTTGACCTTCACAGGTCAGTATCGGATTGCTGAGAGTCAGTAGTTGGAACCCCTGTGTCTACAGGAAGATTATGGTGAACCTACTCCTAACACAAGCATAATAATATTATTTAGCCCAGCTGGAGGGTTTTACGGGACTAATATTCTTTAAAAAAATTATCTGTAAAAGAAAGGTCACTGACTCACTCACTCAACACGAAATCTGAGAAACTACAAGTGCTAGGAGTCTCAAATTTTGTAATAGGGTTCATTTTACTCTTAGAGCGTAAGGTGCTCACTAAGACGGGATTTTGAAAAATTCAACCCGGGGTAAAACGGGATCCACGCGTACGAAGTCGCGGGCAGCCGCTAGTCTATAATAAGTTTGGATTGTCATAAGTGCCAAAATACTGGTCAAAATTGCATAAATATTTTTGATTTGATTTGAAAAATACGCGTATGTGTTTCCAAACAAACATCACGCATCATTTGAAGCCAAGCCAAGCCTGACCCACTTATGAACACGCGAAAACCAATTTCCTACCATTGCAAGGTTTTCACTTCCTTCCTCATGCATTTTCCTTCAGTACGTTTATTTTTTCATACAATATTTGTAGGAAACGTGCCCGGAATGAGGCACTTGCGTGGCAGTTTGTAATAGTTCTGTCCAATTAGGTTTTGGTAATATGTAGTTCAATATAATAAGGAAATAACGCATTAGGTGTGAGGTTGTTTAACATAATATTAATAATATTTGAAATGGAAATAGTTATACAGAATTCAAATACTCGACCTAATTCCTTGAAAAGGGGTAATACTTGAGAGCATTAGCATCAAAATATGTCCAGTTTCCGTATATTCAAATATTTAAAAAATGTAATTTTAATGCAATTTATAGTATTATTTTAATACCTAGTTAATACAAAGGTAAATAACTTTTTAACAGCATAAATGCTAGTTTTCTTCTAATAGTACTAATTTACATCACAATCACGTTTCTTTATATTATCATTAATAGTAATTAAGTATCATTTTAGTACTAACTTTCTACGTATAAGTTAGAGGGTTGCTTGCACCTTTGTTAAAGACGTCCTCTGCTGGACAAAGCCTTCCCCAAGGATTTCCACAATGGTCTTGGCTGCCCGCATCCAGGCCCAAGAAAAGGGAAGAAATATACTAAAGACACACCACAACTAAGGCAGTCTTATCGTTAAAAGCAATCTCTTCATGACAAAAACAAAAGATAGTTATTTATGACGAGATAAAATTGTACAAATTCAACCCCTAAGGGGATGGAAAAGGGGTCCAAATTGTAACACAAATTAAACTTACAGGGCAGGTACCATCCTAGACTGCATCTCACTTAACACCAGGTGCGATCTTAAGGTGCGTAGCGTGGGCAGGCCTCCTACTAGGTGGACCGACGATCTGGTAAAGGTCGCGGGAAGAGCCTGGATGCGGGCAGCGCAGGACCGTTCATTGTGGAAAACCTTGGGGGAGGCCTTTGTCCAGCAGTGGACGTCATTTGGCTGAAACGAACGAACCTGCTTTGTTATGCATAAAAAAATCTTATGAAAAAATGTTCAACTTACATTTATAGGCTTAAAAATAACCCCAATAAGTATCCAGACAGCTTTCATGTAACAAAACTTACAAAGCTCCACTTAAGCGATTAAATCTTGACCTGTAAGTAGGTGAGCCTGTTACAACTAGACGCAAAAAAACAATAAACCATACAACATGTGAGACGACTCGGAACATGTTTTGAGCATGTTGCCCAGAGGCGAAACAGGTCTGCTAACAAAAGACTGCCTTCTGTCTACACTTTTGACATGTCGCAGTCAGATTGAGCAATTAGACTTTTTGTAAAAGGACCAAAAATTAGAGTTGTCTCTTTTTTGACGTGCTATATAATAATTGATTTTTTTAAAGTACATGATAAGAATTGCGTTAGTGTGCCAAAATACTGGTCTAAACTGAATAAATGTTTTTGATTTTGTTTTTTTAAAGTGTTACTAAACTGAATAAAAAAAAATGTTTTTAATAACTTTTAAATTGGTAGTCCAGTTTCCTATTTCCATTGACATTGTATGCCAAAAATATCTCTCTGAAATCTATAGAACAAAAAGTTAATCTAATAGATAAATTCCAGATATCAGCCACTTATCAACAAGTGGTTAAACTGGCCCTGACCGGTTGAAATAACTAATATTTAAACAAATTAACAATTAACCAAGAACAGTATAGTTATAGATTACAATTAATGAAGCCTTCAAGTAAAAAAATGCCG